CTCTGTATCTCTGTGTCTCAAATGAATAAATAAAATCTTTAAAAAAAAAAAAAAAGAAAACCACGAACAGAATGTGAAACAAATCTTTGCCATGATGTTTTGTGTTGTCGCATTTGACCACCAGGAGACAGATTCATCCATTGTTTTACTTCTGTTTTGCTTTGCTTTCATCTGTAGTATGGGTACATTGGAAAGGAAGCTTACTTTTGGATAGTTTTTTCTTCCCCAAGAACATGAGGTGGGTAGGACCCATACTCTGGTGACTATAATAGCTTCCATTGTTGAGTGTCTCCTGCGTTCAGGTAATGTTGCAGAATTTGAGATGTGGCCTTGCTAAGCCTCACAATAACCCAGCAGAGTTGGGTATGATTATCTCCATTTTTCAGTTGAGGAGACTGAGGATAGGGGAAGGTTAAGGCATTTGTCCAAACTCACACAGGTAGAAATGTTTGGATTTATTGTCAGAGTGGGATGGGTGCTAAGGCCAATATCCAGGTAAACGCCCATTAGCAGGAGGACCAGCCTCTCCTTACCGATGCCTCCTTGGTGTTAGTCTCCTCTGATGCTGACTTGGCGACCTTCTGAATGATGGGGGCGATGTTGGTAGGACCGTAAAGCTGGAGCTTAGGAAGACAGCTCTGATAGGCCTCCACAACTCCTTGAATTCCTAAGGTGAAATTGGCAAAGATCAGTAGTTCAGTAGTCCCCTCAAATACAGGTGTAATCAAACACACACAGAAATAAAGCATTTAGTTGCCCCCAATAGTCCTTATCAACATCACATTTATATCCTTAAGGTAAAAAAGAAAATACCACATCCCTGGTGTTGCCTACACTCCCACTGAAATCATTCTCTTTAAAAGCTCAAGTCAAAAGCAACCATTTACACAAACTTTTCCCTAATGTCCCACTTTACACATATGATTTCATTAGATCCTCATAGCATAACGAAATAGATGTTATACCCTTTTATAGGTGAAGAAACTGAGGCACAGAGAGGTTAAATGATCTGCGTCAGGTCACACAGCAAGTGAGCTGTAGTCTCAAGATTCACGCCCAGGTCTTGTCTGGCTCTATCTAAGGGCTGTGCTCTCAGCCACTAGGCAAGTCAGCTTTAATGCTTCTCTAGTTTTCACACCACCTGCTAAGTCTCCTCTAGTATATACCTCCCTGGGACACCTGTAGGAGTCATGTGCACATCGCTTCATCATCATTATTTGATGGAATAGGTCGAGGAATTTCTAGCTGGAAATAATGCAACACCGACCAAAGCCTTTAAGAAGGCTCTTTCTGGCACAAAAGCATAAAGCTACTTGTTTGAAGTCATATCCTTTGCTAGCATGCACAAAGTGTCAAATGCTTTCCACGTCTCCCCCTTCCTTATTCCTTCACAGAGAGGAAGTTGTGATAAATAAATACATAATGAAAATTTAGAAAGCAGAAAGAGGGGTAGCTAATCACTGCCCATTGGGTATATTTCTTCCCCACGTTTTTTTTGGCCAGAGAAATCCAGAATTGGTATCAATACTCTTGCTGTAAGCTCAAGATCTCTTCTGCATTCTGTCTCTTATAGCTATTTTTCCGCTCTGTTATTATGGCTCTCCATTGCCTTTGGAGTAGCATGGTTTATTTGGATCCAGAAGGCCTACTTCTCTGCTGTGGACAGATGACTGTGGCTAACTGAGATGCTGCCTCGGAGCAGAGAGACTAAAATGGGAAAGGTACCCACGAAAGGGCTGTGAGACCTCAGCTTGCTTTTATGTGTGATTTACCTGCACATTCCGGGTTGTCTTCATTAAAGTTGATTGCAAAGTCATGAGAGACCTAGACACCAATTAAAATTTAAAAAAGGAAGAAAAGAGAATTATAACTTTAATCCAGTAAGGAGGCACTGGAGTTTAGAGTTTGCAAACAAATGCCCATTATATTCATCATGTGTTAAGCAGCAGGAACCATTTTAAGACTTTACACAATCAATCTGACATGGAGGGTGAATTCTAAGCTCCCTGTGGAGTTGAGGTGACAGGAAGACTTTCTAGAATCGGATAAATGCTGGCAGGAGAGGAGAATAAGGCAAATAAAAAAGAAATCGAAGAAAAGATTTCTGAAAAATGTAACTCCACATAGCTTCCAGATAGAACTGGCCACAGCCTGGAGGCTTAGATTTGGCTGAGCTCTATTTGGACCCAGTGATAAAAACAATGATAGCTCAATAACGCAAGCTGTCTGCCCAACATGGTGACGGTTATGAAGGCTCCAGCTAAGCTGTTGACATTTAAGAATCATTCTAACATGATATGCAGAAATACAGGGCAGAAGGATTTTCACATATACACAGGTTAAAATAGACTCTACTCTTGGAAAAGTAATAAAGTAATACAACTTTTACTCTTCCAACACAATTTCCTCTACCTGGCAGGACCTATGCATAAGGTCAAAAAGGATATTGTTTACTTTTTTTCTTTCTAAAACCTGATAAAACAAGAGGGATGTTCTGACATCTGGACATTTTTATTGGATCATCTGGAATTATACAGAGACTTCCATTTCAAAGGCTATTTCCAAGCACTGACTCTTTTGGGGGCTAGAAGATAGGTCATTGTGTTAAAAGACCCCTCTTTTCTTAGTGTTGGTGCCCTACCCCACATTTCCTTGCCCTGAGCACTTCCAGGCAAGTCAGCTGACTTCCAACCATCTTACTTGCTTTATTGAGTCTTAAGTCTTTCTCAGGCCTCCAGAGCCTGCTTTGCCTGACTAGCTGTAAGTGTTGGGAAACTCATGTACCTAGGGAGCAGCCCTTAATCACTCACTGGATGACAGGATATGGTGTATCAATACCCCAGCTGTCTTATCTCTTGGGGTCTGTGCATGCTCTACACTATCTCCCTGGGGCCCCCAGCAGAATTAAGTTCCAGCTGCCTACAGTGGTAACTGGCTTGTTAGCATACCCTATGTTGACTTCCCCATGTCCCCACCCTCTGTTGAGGTTTCCTCCACCCTCAAATAAATAACTTGCATCCAAATCCTTGTCTCAAGGTCTATTTCCGAGAGAGTGCAAACTAAGACAGAGGTGCTTGTGGCTCAGTTTCAAGGCAAACTCTGAGATCTTATCCTAAAGAAGTCAATTGTGATAAACTCTCTGGGGGCATCCGACAGGCTGAGACCATCAGTGCCTGTCAGGGCAGAGGGGAAATTATGCATGGAAAAGGGGCATTTGCATGACTTTTCAAGAACAGCAATGAGGATATGGGAGGGATGCCTGTTAAGACAGCAGGAAGAATAAGTTAGCTGACAGGCAGCATGGAGCCAAGGGATCAGGTCAGCATGAGGACTTCAGAAAACAGCAAGAAGGATGAGTTACTCCAGGAGGGGGGCCAGGCAGATGTCACAGAGGAGATAAGGAAGGCCTGAAAAAATACCCATCTTTGGGTAGTTGGGCTGTTTTTATGCTTTTGTTTTTTTTAAAGATTTATTTATTTATTTGAGAGAGAGAGAGAGATGGGGAAGGTGGGGGCAGAGGGAGAAGGAGAGAGAGAATCTCAAACAGACTCCCTGCTGAGTGCGGAGCCCTACACAGGGCTCGATCTCATGACTCTGACATCATGACCCAAGCTGAAATCAAGAGGTAGATGCTTAACTGACTGACCGACCCATCCAGGCACCCCATGGACTGGTGGTTTTTGAGGTGCATTTCATTCTCAAAGCTCAGCAGCTCTGGGAAGAAGGTTGGCACCCATTTGCCCATATTCTGGAATTGATACCCCATCTAAAGGGGACTGCATCTCCTCAGTTCTGGCTAATTCTTGCATGTGTAATCTTTTAATCGTAGTGTTGCCAGGTTTTTTAGTTTTTCTGGAGAAGCAAGAAGTGTGACATTGTATATGAAATTGTATAATTCTTAAAAAAAATGTGTGTCAGATATAATACACTTGTGGCCTGAATAATGTCTACAGGCCACCAGTCAGCAGCTCCTGTTCTATGTTCTTCCTCCCTATGTGCTCAATTTCCAACAAATGCTTCTAAAATTCTGTAGCCATGCCTGGCAGAGAAGGCAGTGTGGGATATAAGGCAAACAAGAAAAAGGACAGGTCAGAGAGACATGCCACTCTATCCACTGCTCACTCCAGCAGTAACAGGGATATGGATTCCCTTTTTTCACAGGAGGGGAAAGCCCTTGGTCTGACAGCTCTGGTGTGGGAGCAAACGTCAGCATTTTTCTCCTGCTCTGTGATTCAATCAGTAAAAGAAAAACTGATGACTGAGCAGTATTGCTTCTACTTAGCTTGTACCTCAGAGGAATTGGTGAGGCTGGGGTAGGGACCTTGCTGTCTCTCCAAGGCCCTTCTACCAGTGGGAGCAGAGTTCTCTGTGGAGAGTGTCCCACAGAAGCATCTGGTATACCACAGCACAATGCCTCAGCTCCACTGCAGTGCAAATCTCTCTTCACAATCTTTGCCTTCCTTGTTCATGAGAAATCAGTATCAAATAGGACTCCAGTGTTTTCACAGAAACCTTTCAGTTTCCCAATACTCGAAGCCAGAGTGATTCTCCTTCAGGACTTCACTGTGTCTCTCCCCCACATAGGCCTGGGGCTCAGAGACTTGGAATGAGGGAGTCTGTAGATATCCCTGTCATGAACTTTCACCGTTGGCATTGTCAGTAGGACCTTTCTCTGGGGGAGACCTGGATAGATAGGTTCTGAGCCAGTGGAGATCAACTTCCTGAGTGTTTTCTCAGTCTCTGACCGTATCTATTAAGAAGCTCAACAATGGGACCCTTCATTTGGACCTCTGAGAAGACCCATCCAGAATACAGGAGATTGAATTTCATCAAAAGATAGGCTCCAGTGAGCTAATCCCACTGGTTCTGAAGACCATTTCTGAGTTTTGGGGCTCTGCTTACATAATTTTATCAAGGGCCAAAAGAGTGAACTCCTATGAGGGAAACCCAAGTCATTCTTTGGCTACAGCAAAGGTTTTCTACTCACTCACCGTGTACTCTGGGGGTATCCTGGCACCAAACCCAAAGGCTGGGAACATTTTGTCACTGGAAAAAAAAAAGAAGTTGCTTCAATTGTTCATCTAATGAGGAAGAAAAACATGAACCTGCATTACCTCACTAGGACATGTTACTATGTCAAATGCTGACTCATGCTTCTTGATTATCTGTGGTAACAGGGGATAGCAGTAGCATGGGTAATTAAAATCAAGAAGGAATCCACAAAGTTCTTTATAGTCATTAGTCTGCAATTTCTTCCCATAACTTTTTGCTAGATTTGATACTAAGGAATAAAATGGCCCAGGATTGCCTCACCTCCCCTACCCCAGTTTTCTGTCTTTGAAAAGTGGTTATGAATTATGTAACTCCAATGGTTGACTATTAGGGTTTTTCATATATATTATCTTTTAAAATCTTTGTAGGGAGGGACCATTATTCCCATTTCCCAGGTGGGGAAATATCTTGGGAGGTAAAGTGACTTATCCAAGATCAGGCTGCTAGTTAGAGCCAGGATTCAAATCCAGATGAGTCTAAATCCAAAGAGATATTAAAAATCAATGGGAAGCTTGGAAGGCTGGCTAACTGTCAGAACTTGATTCCATCTACAGGACTCATTGCGTCCATTACTTTAACTCATACAAACAACATAAACTGTTTACATGTCTTTTCTTATCTCCTGAATGCAAAGAGATGCTGTTTTTTTTTTGGTATTAATATCTTTACATCTCCACTGCCTCTGTCCCAAACTGCCCCTTGACCCTCTCCTTCAGCATACTTGCCATAGAGTATGTGCACAATAAATATTTAATGACTAGACAACTCATGAATTGAATCATGGCTTGGTTTCTCTTATGCATATTGAAATTTCTCTCTTAATTTATTCATTTACATATGTTATATTAACTCCAACTTTACTGTACTATAGGTGAGATGATGGGGAGAAGAATTAACTTTAATTGGCACATACAATGTGCCGGGCATGATGCTAGGCAATGTACATTTTTATTTAATTCTCACACAACCCTTGAAGTTCCACCTACTTATTATTCCTGCTTATAGATGAATAAACTAAGTCTCAGAAAGGCTAAGAAAATGGCCGAAGGTATTTACCTGGGAGGACTGTGTGATTCTAAAGCCCATGCCTTTTCTGTTGTCCCATTATAATTCAATGATTTTATTTGGCATTAAATGTAATTTCCTTCTGGAACTTCCGGTAATGGGGCCCCCTGACCAGACAAGTAAGACTCTCTTTAGGAAAACTGTTGCAGTGGGGCTCTGGAATATTGCTCTTGGCAAAGGCACATCCTTCTCATGCCATCTACCTTTTACGTTCTCTCCCATTAAAAATACAACTGAGATTTGTTCTTGGAACAATTCCTACATTTCACAGTTCTTTGCAGAGTTAGTCAAGGAAAAAAGGAAATTCAGATTAGGGCTCACTGTCCCTGAATGGCTCTGTCAACCAAAGGGGACCTCCCAAGGCTGACAGAGAAATCAAAGTACTAAAGTACCAAAGCCATCACCACCCGACAGATGTAGAGGTCATTAGTAGCCAATGATGGCTTTGATAACACTTCACCAAAATGCAGCCAAGTTGAGCAAATTTGGGGTAGGGGTTGGGAGATACAAGGAAGCCAGCATTTTTGGAATTAGTCAAATTCTCTAGAAAACCACCAGCTCTCCCTTTTCCTTACTATTGTGTAGATACAGGCTTTGTGGTGCATTGCATCTGGCATGTAGTAGAAAAGGTATTAATATTGGTAAATAGAAAAACACAACGTCTTATGAAGGATTAGCCACAGCTCTGAGAAAAAAATACTTCTGGTCCTTGGAAATACTGACTAACACTGCCTCAGTAATTCCTCCTTAACCAAGACAAGGGTGAGCAGGTATGAAAAGGAATCTGTGAGAGAGAGTTCACAGGTGCTTTCAGGGTAAGTCTGGAAGAAAATTTTCCAGGGTAGAGAATGGGTTCTGGTTCTTCCAACCTGGAGATGGCTCAGAAGTCAAAACAGAAACCTAGGAGGCTCCATACCTTTTGATGAGTTTAGAAAGGGTGAGATCTAATATTCCATCCATTTCTAATCACCAAACCAATGTTCCAGCCTTAATGATATGTAATACCTTCTAAGCTACCCTGGGGGATGTGAAGTTTGCTGAGCATGATGCACTGTTATGTAATTGAATTTCAAGAGCAGGGAGGTAGGGGAAATGCCTCACCTACAAGAGGAATAATTAATGACCCAGGAGGACATCAACTCTCTGAAGTTAGCCACCACAAAGTCTCTAACTAACAAACATACCAAAGGAAAATTTTCAAGCCTAAGCACAATAGATTGAAACGTCCATGCTTCCTGACTAAAAATAAAACTAGGCAGAGAGGAGTCTTATGCAAGAGGCAAGAGAAGGCAGGTTGAGCACACAAGCACGGTACGCCAGCGCATCAAAGAACTTGAGATTGAATCCACTCAGCACCGAGAAAAGGGGCCACTCTGCAACCACTGGGAAAATGATCGGTGGAACTTGCCAACTTGGAAAATTCAATATTACCACATTGCTAAAGGCAATCTTTTATTCGTACCATTGGAATAAAACAGTATAAATACAATAAAAGAGCCCATAGTCTTCAGTGGTAATGAGCATGCGTTCCTGAACTTGTTAGGGAATGATCTTGGTCCAATGATGTCCAGATGGAAGATTCATTTTCAAACACCATTTTTACCCTCCTGTTAAGGAAGACTTTGGGATGAAGAAAGAGAGTAATAAAAATAAAGACAAATTACCTCATCCATAAGGAAATAGAGGCTGACTGACTCAGAGCAAAACAGCATTTCGGAACACCTAGACATTTAATTAAGACTGTTCTTTAAGACAGTGGTCTTAACACTGGGGTACATGGAAATGCAAAGCCCTTCTGGGGTAAGAGAGCATGGTTTTTTTTTTTTTTTTTTTTTTTTTAAAGGAAATCATTATTCAGTTTCTCTACTTTCATATGTATTCTCTGTTGAAATTGATCTTCAGGGAACACCTGTGATAGAAAGACCTGCTCTCCATTCACACCTTCCCTTTCACAATTATCCTTCTCCTTACCCACTCTGAATCTTAACCACAATGGTGCGTTGTTCCAGAGTGCAAAAACTCTGCGGTAGAAAACAAGGGACCTAGGAAACAAATCCTTTTGCAAGTCAGGTAGTTGCTAATTTTTGCTTTTAAAAATTGTAGGAAGTGCTGATATCAGCTGGTAGATCATTAAAAATACATTTTGGTGATAAACCATTATGTGATTTTTTTTGATATATAACCTCGAACAGAAAGAAGTAAGTAATACTGCTAGTCAAACTCTTTTCATTACCATATACTTATTTATAAGAACAAGTTTTCTCAGTATTTATATTGATAAAAACAAAAAATTGGATTAGAATTGATGCTAGACTCTTCTATTCTAGTACCATTCATTCATCTACAGATATGTAAACTACTTGGGAAAAAAACCCCACTATTTTGTTTCATTAAAAGGTTTTATTTTTTATAGGCAATAATTATATTTATGTTCTTTTGATCAATTATGCATTAATGATGATTATAATAAAGACTCAAACAGAAGATTTTAAAAAATATTTTGAGTCTTTTCAACACAGAAAATTTTAGAAATTAGAAATTTTAAAATTTATATTCATATTTTTATTGTAGAAATCAATAAAAGGGTTTTGAACCAAAATCTTAAAGAAACATTACGATGAAATTCTTTGGGGGAGGGGACTGGAAATACAGTTTCATGAAAAAGAAGAAATAAATAAATTCTCAACTCCGGCTAAAGAACTTGTTCATGCATTTTTTAAATGGGTGATGGTGAGTATCACAGAGCTATGGCATTTAGATCCTACTAAATGTATTCACAAGAGTTATGTAAGAGTTTTATTTCTAAATGTCCATATTTACAATACACCAGGATTTTCGGTCTTTGTCATTGTTTAAACTCATGATGGAAAACATTAGATTTCAATGTAAAAATGTGTGAGATTACACATTTTTATAAAATTCTTATTAGGGGTATATGCCCAAACTAAAAATTAAAGGTTATCGGTCCAAAATGTCCTTTAGATCTGACACTGTAATCCCTTTTTCCTTTTGTGTTCAGTTTATTTTTAAAGCTAATTAAGAGTATCGAGGATAATAGCCTCTATCATTTACTGAGTATCACAGGCAGAACATGTGCTAGCTAGCCACTTTATATCTAATCCTTACAACTGCTCTGCAAGAAAAGTTTGATAAATCTTCCATTTGAAATCAAGGACATCAGGGCCCATGGAATGGAATGAAACCTCAGAACAGAGGCAGCAGAGCTGGGGTCTGAACCCAGGGTCTACCTGTCACTAGGACCCCATGCTCTTTCCATCACCCCTGTTGACTCTGCCCTTTGTAGGAAACTGGTCTGGTCTAAAGACTCAGAATAACAACGATAAGTCCATCCATGTTCTAGTAACAACAAAGGACAGAATTAGCAGAATTCCGAACATCCCAGAATTTGCCACCCCCGGAAGGCCCTCCTTGACTACCTTGGAAACTCACGTAGGAAAGTTACTCCTTCTCTTGATGCAGTCCCTGTCCTTACACAGGGCAAGCTGCCCTGACTATGCCGGGCTGTGGTTTATTTACATGGCTTTTTCTCCCTGAGACTGTGAAGCAGCTGGGGGGAAATTACACTCTCTTAGTTTGTCTCTGTCTTTACGGCACCATGTGAGGTGCCCGGCAGCCATCCGGTGCTGCGTGGCTGCATCTGACCCATCTAACTGATTTAACTCTGGATCTCAACTTGGGATGCCCATTAGGAAAATGCCCATGAAAAATCCTGATTCCTCAGGATGTATACCAGACTAAATCAGGCTCTGGGGTTGGGCCCGGGCATCAGCGTATTTTAAGACTTCCTGAATGATTCCAGTGCGCAGCCAAGGCTGAGAGCCACCGACTGGTGTTTGTAGAGTGGAAGGAATGGCACTGTGATACAAACCTATCTTCTGATTCTAACCCCAATACCTATCAGATGGGGCATCAGCCCTAACTTTGCCTCCTAGCACACCATGCAGGAGGTCTCCTGCCTCAGATGTGGGGTGGCCACATCCATGAAATGGCAGTCTATGCTTCCAAGCAATAGATTCAGTATCTATACTCTCTTGATAGCAGAGAGACCAGCCTTTTGTTGGAGGACACGGCAGGTGGTCAGAGACCCACATCTCTGCTGGGCCCAAGGAATGGATGTCACCTTGGTCTTGAGCAGCCTGAGCAGGATGTTCACAGGAGCTGGGCAAGTGCTACAACCAACAGGGAATATATGAGCTTGTGTGTGTGTGTGTGTGCGTGCGTGAGCACACATACATGTGTGCATGCTTGGGGAGTCCGAGGGGAGAGTATGGGCAGTGTTCTCTCTCTCCAAGGCACAGAAACAGGGAGACAGAGCGGGCTCGCAGGACTGTCTTCTGGGCTTAGACCTAGATATTTGTGGAAAAGCTTCCCCTTCAAGGCCACCCTGAGAAGGGCTTTATGCATCTCTCAAGCTGTTCTGCTTCGCTGATCACCTCGTACTGACCCCTCAGCAATGACTATACAAGGCAGAAAGAAAAACCCCGGGCTGTCAGAGGCTGGGAGCAATTTCTAAGGCTCATGGGGATTAAAAACCTCTCTGTCGCTGCAGGAGGGGGTACGTCGCCTTCTGTCAGTTTTTATTCAAGTGTTTCTTTTGAACATCAACCTCAGTGACTTTGATGTGAGAATAAATTAATTCCAAAGCCCCAACTTGAAATTTCCTGACTCTGCCTGTCTATTGTCTATCCACCCACGCAGAGGAGAAACTGCGGAAGCTTGTCAGTTCTCAAGTGAGCAGCTTGCATTACACATTCTTCCAGGGAGTCTTTCAAAAGAGCGCCTGGGCTTTTCAGGCCTTTTCCCCCTTAGGTATTTGCCCTTTTCATGCGGAGCTGCCTTCTTTTTGCACATACGTATACGTATACATAAAGCTCCACTGGGCTGCAAGAAGCCTGATTTTCCTGGACAGTTGGGGTGATAACTTCGGGATTATCCTATTAAAATTTTTAAAAGAATCATTTACAATAATTCTTCATGTAACTCCTAAGGTATCAGATCTTAGTTTTACATTGAATCTGTATTTTCGCATGAGTACAAAACACTCTGGGTTTTGCCTTTGCCTGGCTTTTATGTTTTAAGGGGATAATAGCTCTAAAAGATGTATGGGTCACTGGAATTGTAGTATCTGCATCTTGCGTGTGAGGTCACCAGAAAACAGAGGAGGTTCAGCAGCTTGTTCCAGATCATCCCATAAATCTGCTGCAGAACCACAGCCAAGGCTCCGGGCATTGGCAGCTTAGTTTCTGGTCAACCCACCAATCTTCTCATTGGAATGCATTAGAACACTGCCTTGTCCCCTAAAGAGAGTCAACATTATTGTTAAGCATCTATTTATTATATTGTACTGAGTGCTTTAACTACTTTATTTCTTCGATGAGCATGTCAAGATTTAAAAGTTATTAAGAATCCTGTAGATATCCACCTCCCCCTTCTTTCTTGCCTCTTATGTATACACCAGTACAACAAAACATTCGTGTGCATATTAGAAAGGAGAGATGACTGTTTTGGTGTCCTGGGGATGGCTGAAGAAGTTTCCGGCAGTGGGGATGCAATTTGTCAGTGTTTTCTTTCCTTGGTGGAACTCTCCATATGATATATACCCTCTCTAGGAATACTCCGTGTATTTGGGCCAAAAGAAATCAGAGCTGAAATTCAAGTTGTCTTCGTAGTCAATATCTCAAGGTTAAGTGTAAGAAGTATCACTTCAACAAGGTAATTTAAAATGCTATTGCCCTCTGTTCTAAATGTACAAGAGGGCAAGTGTCAGCAAGGGCCTGAGTGTTTAAAGAGTGTTTAAAGTTGTTTGATTTTACTGGACCTGTTCATTCAGTCCCCAGCTGCCCTTATAACCTGTTGAGTTACTTGCAATGACCAAGCTGAATCCAGAAAATCACCAGCAGGAAGGATGCTGATGACACCCTTCTTATCACCTGTCCTGTTGGTTTCTCTGCACATTGTGGTCACTAGATTGTCTCATTCCCTATAGTGCTTGGGGCAACCGATTTTTAATGTAACTACCACTAATTATGAGACTAAGAAGAACAGAAATCATGCTCTCCTATACAATTTCTCTGAAACTGGGGGACAGAATCACTTTATTTTCCTGATTTAAAGGATTAGTTAGTTTGTTGCTTCTTATTACTAACTAGCCTTGTTTTATAATCACACTAAGGACTCAACTGAGATTTACCCATATTTATATTTACTTCGGTTCTACCTCAAAGAACCTTCTTGAACATGTGAACAACTTCACCTCAACCTGGAAATACTGAAAAGACAAAATAAATTCAGTTTAATGTAATTTACATAAATCACAATTCTCTTGGTGGGAAAGGTCAATATCTACCATCAAGAAAAAATAAATGTAATATTGATCTGATCCCCAAATCATGTTTTCTATATACACACATACAAACACACACAAACACACACACACACACACTTCCACGGGCACACACACATGCACATGAGCAGACTCACACCCTCTGCTAATGTTACCAATAGCTCTGAAGTCAGTGAAACACCATGATTATGAGCTTTAGCGGTGGAATGAATTAGATCTGCATTCAAATCCTGCCTTGGGCTGAGTGAGTGCACAGATTGCTTAACCTCCCTGCACAGTTTTCCTCTCCTGTTAAATAGTGCCTACTCCATAAGGTGGAATGTGAAGATTAGATGCAATAAGGTCCAATAAACTGGTGCTTCTCAAACTCCAAAGTGGACACAAATCATCTGGGAATCTTGTTAACATGCAGATTTTAAGTCAATAGGTCTGGAGAGGGGCTCAAGATTCTAAGTTCCTGGGTGGTGCTATCTGCTAGTCCCCGGACCAAACTTTGAGTAGCAAGACACGTTCTGAAACTTCACAAAATGTAAGACAAATATGAAGAGAAAGCCGAGAAAGGATTTTGTGTGCGTGTGTGTGTTTGTGTGTGTGTGTGTGTGTGTGTGTGTGTTTGAACTCAGTTTCTCTAGGTGTGGAGAGGATAAAATGTTTGGGCAAGCTTTTATCCTGTTCCTTCATGAGCCTCAGTATGGGTAGCTGCTGGACTTAATTTCCATTTTTCTGCCAAGGATCAGTTAGGGACCATCAGAATCCACAGAGAGAGAAGGCCTGAGCCAACGGGAAGTCCTGTACCTGTCATAGTCTTGGCAGATCTCCCCCACAGCCACCAAGGCTTTCAGGTACTCGTTGGGTTGGTAAGGGTGGATGTAGTGCAGGGAACAGCTGTTCCTGGGGTCCCCGTTTGAGGCTGTGAAATCTATAGCTACCTAGAAGAGAAAATAGGAGAATGGGTAGATTAAAGTGAATGCATCTCATAGGAACTGTGATCAGCCACACAAAAGACATGGCTCGAGATGGAAAAAAGCAGCACATCACATACCCTGCCCAAAAGGAAAGTTATTAATGTGGTTGAGGCCATTTCCATAGTCTTCAATTGTCCTCTCCCCCAGTGCCGAAACAGAACTTGAGATGGACATGTCCGTCGGAAGGGCCAGCCACTGCTGATCCACATCACCAAGCAACGGGTGGAATATCTGCTCCCCAGTTCCTAATTCACTAAGAAAAGACTTCTCTGCTCTCCAGGCAGGACAATTCCATCTCAGAGGCAGAGGTAAAATCCCTTAAAAACTAAATTCTGTGCTAAAGATGTGGTCTATGCCCCATGTGGGGCTCCCTGATCAGCAGAGAGCCTGCTTCTCCCTCTCCCTCTGCCTGCTGCTCTGCCTACTTGTGCTCTCTCTGTCAAATAAATAAATAAAATCTTAAAAAAAAAAGATGTGGTCTATCTCCAAAAGCCATAGTCATATTTTCGTGTGTGGTGAGTTGCAGAGCTGTGTTGAAGTGGTTATAATAAATTTTCTACAAGCAGCAGCTTCGAGTGAGACATTCAGCTCTTGGTTTCCACTCATGTGAGAAGTCCTGCCTATAACAGAGAAGGCTGAGTGCTATGGCATCACGACTGGGAGGTAGAGAAGAGAAACCTCTGTCTTGCCACTGAGTAGATATTATCCTTGAACTTCTTAAATTTTTTTTGGCCCCTGGCATCATTATCTAAATAAGAGTTGACTCACTTAACACTCTTAACAACAACAAACAACAACTAAAGGCTCAAGCCTGGAGAGTGCTAAAAATGGGAAGGAACATTTCTTCTGATTTCCAACATGATTACCATTTAAATAAAAGTTAACCCAGAAAACACCTCTCAAAAAAAAAAAAAAAAAAAAGCTCAGTTTGGGAGTGGCGAGGGGTAGAGAAAAGATGGGGTATTAAAATAAAAGGAGTTGTAGGAAAAGAAAGAAATGTTCATGTTATATCTTCTCCTTTTCTTCAGGGCCTGCCAGAATTCACTCACGGGCTTACTAATGACAGAAAGGCTTTATTTTCTCTTATGATCTTGTGGGTGGGAAATGTTATTTGTATACTATTTGACAAAATTCCATTATGACACATAATTGGAATGTCCTATTATTGGATTTATTTAGGGGGGATATTACTTCTGGAAGGACAGAGAAAAGGTGCTATGTGTTTTGTTTCTGCTTCTGAAAGATCAGCCTGTAAGAGTAAGGTTGATAGGCAAAAATAGCCCCCATACCTTATATTGTAATGCTGCAATAGAATCCAAGTGACTAGAAGAGAAAAAGCAATAGACTAACAGTTCACTTACAACCTTTCTTTTTTCTTTCGTGAAGTTATTTTTTTAATCACTGATTTTGTGTCCCCTTTTCTTCCTCACCCCTCCCCAGGACTGTGTTGAAAAAAATTTAAGCAGGATTCAAAATCTATTTTCAGAATACCCCGATGTTTTCAACAAAGGGAGTATCAGCTGATAAGATGCTAGTACTAACAGTGTTTCAAAAGGAAAGGTCATGTGGAGAAAAATCACACAGTACTTCCTTAACCCTGAGATGCCCTAGCCCAGATAACAAAGGGACGAAGAGAGGAGTAACCTTTGTTAAAACCCTACTCTGTGTCAGACACTGTACAATCTGCTTTCCAGGTATTGTGTTATTTCATTTTCATTAAAAAACTCTGGGGCGCAGAGATTGCTATTCCTTTTTATTGATGAAGATCCTGGTGTCCAAAGGTGATGAAGTTTGCTGGGGATGGAGCTGGGTTAAAACCCCAGTCTGTATGGCTCTGAAGACTGCTCCTCCGTTATGCCATTATACACCCAAGAGAACATACATGGCTGTGGCTAACATGCCACGATGTCACATGGCTATGTTTATTCCTGGAAAGAACGGAGGCGATTTAGCCTGGAAGTAGGGAGACTAGCTAGAGGCAACTAGATAATTTAGGAGAGATGAATGGCTTTGAATGAACAGCTATTTGTAATCAGAACAGTTGTAAAAGGTAGGAAAAGAGCAGTTAAAGTGTGTGTGTGTGTGTGTGTGTGTGTGTGTGTGTGTGTGTGTAATAGGGAGAATGTGTTACTGAGGATGACTGGAGGTGATCTAAGAGGACCAGTAAAATCCAGCATCTTCTGAGATAGATTCCAGCCACAAGGTAAAAGTCAAGCCACTGGAAAAAAAGAGGAAGACAATAGGTGAAGGTCCTTTTAATCAAGGACTGTGATGAAAAGGTCATGTGTCAGGGGCCTCCATGTATTTTGTGAATAAGAAGGAGATGTAAAGCACTCCAGGACCCACCCATGGGGCCTCAAACAGACAGAGGTCCAAATACATGCAGATTATTTCTGGAAAACTTCTCTAAGGAGAACCCTTAGGAGGTGCTTGAGAGACAGTGTCTGAAGAAATCATACACCTAGGGTCCTCCTGGTTTATGAAGCTCAAGCATGCAGAGTCACCATTCTCAGCCTTTTGGTCCTGATAAGAACACACTAAGGGGTATTGGCACCTCCCACATGTGTACATGGCCTTTATAAGGTACAAACAGTGCTGGGAAGGCCAGATGTAAAGCCACCTCTTTCCTACTGAAGAAAGCATTTTAGGACTCTAGAGAATTCTAGAGAATGTGAGAATGTTGTTATGGAGATAACCTTGATTTTGCTCCAATTTATCTAAAATGCAAATCACTGGCAGGTGTCAAGATGTTGTTATTAATAGCCAGTACCTATGGCTCACATCAGTTCTGTTTAAGATGCTCTTCATCATGGATCGCCACAATCCTCTGCCTGTGCTTGATGCTGCAGTTGAAAATTGTCCCATGTGCTGATTACCTGAGTGTCAAGGGTATTCCATGGTGACAAAAACATGCTGGTGTCTTGATATAAAACCAGAGGATGAAACCAGGTAATAGAAAGGCCAGAAGGGAAAACCTCCATAAAAAAAAAATGACAACTCAAGAAACCTAAATGTTCCTCTTATCCTCCCCAGGCACGGCATGATCCTCCAAGTATGCAGGCACCAAGTGACAGCATCCAAGCCTGGGTGTATCACCTGAATGAATATGTTGTGTTACGGGGAGAAGTGTGTATAATGTCTAGATGAACACACACAGATTTTGGCAACAGTGTATTTTAAAATAGAGCAACA